AGTTGCAACTAGCTATGACATTGAAATCAGTAAGAACATCTTATTTTCTAAAATAAATAAACAAAAAGAAAGAAATCAACAATTTTCTTTGAAAAATGATCTCCTGTAGATACAGACAATCCTCTCCCAAATCGACTTCCACATGAGAACTGCTTTCTTTGTTCAAACGAAGGCTTCCTCTTGTCACGTTCTCAACATCAACGAATTCCCGTTATTTAAAACATGCGAACTGTTATCATAAACAACATTAAATTCATACTTCTTCTACGCTAAATGAATTTAATCGAAGTTAATTACATTGTTTATAAACATGTCAATCTTTTAATTGATTTGTATTAATTGTTCATTCACTACAAGCGCACACTTCCTCCCCGCCTCTGTTTATCAAGAAAGATTTTGATTATATCCTCAAAATCACATAAGATAATATTTATCTTGTAATAACAACGCAATATCGAATGTTCTGCCATCGCAATGACTAATTATATGGACATCCTATGATCCCGCTATGGACAATTAATTTGTAAAACATATAATTTCTTTTCACAAAATGAACAATATTAATCTCTGCTGTGTTGTTTATGATACTTTGTCGGACTCTCGTTGATTTCTATATCTCAATGTTATCAATCTTTGTTTATTTCGGACATTCCAATTTCCTCCCTTTCGCAGTACGGGTTCGTAAAGTGTGTATACGTTAGGAAATGCAAATTACTCTAATATGTTTTCTCTTCAAATCTCTAGAAACAATGTCTTCCAGACTCGTATTCTAATATTGAAACATGAATGATTGGTATGAACAAAATAAAAAAAAAGTTTCTTCTTCTTCTTCTTCTTTTCTTTCTTTCTTTCTTCTTCTTCTTCTTCTTCTTCTTCTTCTTCTTCTTCTTCATCATCTTCTTCTTCTTCTTCATCATCACCTTCTTCTTCTTCTTCTTCTTCTTCTTCTTTTTCTTCTTCTCCTTCTTCTTCTTCTTCTTCTTCTTCTTCTTCTTCTTCGTCTTCTTCTTCTTTCTTTCGTCTTCTTCTCCTTCTTCCTTCTTCCTCCTGTTCTTCTCGTTGTTGTTTGTGTTGTTGGGGTGTTATTGTTTGTGTTGTGTTGTTGTTGTTCTTCTTCTTCTTCAAGCCCTCAGTCGTGTATTACAAAGCAAAATTCAAAAGAAGCTGCCGTAAATTTGTAGGTATAGGGTTGTGTTATCTCCCAATATAAAGTTGTTATTATTTTCCGAAATGTCATTTAAAAAATTCATATCGAGTGCCCTTCTGGCTCTCAATAGACCTTTAATAAAATCAAGTACGGTTTTTTCCGATTTTGTTATACAAAACCATGAAAAACATAATTTGTTGTTATAGGTACCTTATATACTCTGAAATTGAAAGGTAAAAATACTTTTCAGCGGCTTGGTTATTCATTCTAATGGCGTACGTAATGAAGCAGATGAAACTTTTCCATCTAATTCGATGACTTTTGCTAGTAGACAACCTCATTTTAATGAAAATCGCCGGCGGATTCTAGCACCATCTCTGCGTTGGCACGGCACTGCTTCGCCTTCCCAGTAGGCATTCAGCTGAATCCGCTGCCGGCGGGCTTCTCGATGGCGAATCTATATATCGGCATACAATCATACACGCAATAATTGGAAGGCAATTTGTTGAAGTCTTACAAGTGTGCTTAAAGAATATGTTTTATCGTGATATACCGTCTATTATCGAGAACTATAATTTCCTGTGGTAATGGCGTGGTATTAGTCAAGTGATTTAGGCATATTTATGTTTACAATGGAAGTATATACCTGCCTTACACTTTTAAAAGAGTTTTTTTTTTTTTTTTAATTCATCACCCTGAATCAGTAAGCATCATCACATATTTATGTAAAGTAATTACTGATTTCGTATCTACTTTTCATTTACAAGATCATTCCAAGTAAAACTTATTCTTAGTTTCTATGATTGGTGTTGTTATTGGTCATTTTCAAAAGTCCACAACCCACTTTATCATGATTTTAACATAATTATTCAAATATTCAAAAATGACTGAACATTGGATACATAGAACTATATATACAAAGGTAGATTAGGTGAACTCCAATTTAATGTATAACTTACTTCACAGCAAAACGCAGTGACGTGGAGATACAAATATTATGAACTATATAGTTAGACGGTTCAACGGTTGTCCCAAGAGTGAGGCCTTATTTGAAGGGGGGGAAAAGAATTGTTAAAAAAGGAGTGTTATAATTATAGCATGAATTCATGATAGACAGATTTGTACTGAATAACTACACAGGACAGCCCGGTGCGTATAGCGATTAGAAGATACAAAGCGAAATAAAATTGACACGAATTGCAATGAAATCAGCGTAACGGAAAATCACTATTATACTTCAAACTTTTGTTATAATTGCCACTGGTTTAATTCGCAGCCCAAAGAACGGCAAAGTAAATAAGAGAGATCTTTTAACCCACTCGTTTCGTTCCAGCACGGCAAAGAGCGTGCATGGGAGAGAATGCGTCTCTTTTGTAAGGGAGAGAGGAAGACCGCAAGTGCAGTATTAAACATGTTTTTGATATATCAAATGCAATTAACCGCGCAGGAAGTTATAAAAGTTTGGCGAAAGAACAAGGGGTTGTATTTTGTCCTCGAGAAGAAGAAAAAAAATCGCGCTGTCCCTGACGTTGTTGTCTGAGAAGAGAAGTTTTAGAGGAATTCTTTAAAAAAAAATTCTTCAAAACAAAAGCAAGTATCGTTTGTATTTGTTTTTATCTTGATTATTGTTTATGATTATGTTTACAATAGGGGGTGGGGGCTCAACACAAGTCATGTGTTTGTAAACATCTTCTTGAGCACAAGTCAGCCATTACAGATTCTCATTATTGCCAAAATATCAAGAAATACGGCTTGATAAAAAAGATTTCTAAGCTTATGTAAATCAGTCGCTGAGTGTTTTTATGGAGCCAGCAAAACACTTAGAGAATATGAACTCTTTCTCAAATATATTAATGGTGAGTATATTCACTTTCCCTCCATATACCACTGTAAAAATATTGTGTGAAAATTGCCCAACTTAGGGATGACTATATGGTTGACCAACTCCGAACGATTTTATGCCAAACATGGATTGGGTAACATTTTGCCCGATCAAATAAATATTTGACTACACATGGAGCAAAAATCACCTCAGTTTAGCAACCAAGAGTTGGTTGGATACATAATTACCCCTATGTTGGGAAATGACGAAAGTTTATTCAAGAAGTTTTTGGATAATGTAATTTGATTTGAAGAAAAAAAAAACGCTTTCATTTCTTCATATTGAAATTAGATAACATGTGCAAAACAATGAAAGGATTTCCATTGCACGTACTACACTTGCTTCTGTGCCAAGTGCTTCGAATGAATTTCCTACACCAAAACCGAATTCTTAAATTCAACCCTGTCCGCGAACACTATCTGTATAATTATACCTTTGATGCATTGAATCTCGGAGCCATTGCCGCATGATCAAATGTCGGGACCCCTTTAAAGGTATTATGTCCCTTTTGCAGCCAACCTCAAATTCTGTAGAACTTTGCAGGAATTATTAATATGTCATGTATGTCCTATCTGTGAAATTTAAACGTTAGCAGTGTCCTCATATTCAAATTATGTAAGGAAACCCGTTTACTTGCTAGACTTCACTGTCAGACACTATTGAGTGACTGACTGTTTTTTTTCTTCTTTGGTAATAACATACATGAAAAGAGTTGTAAAGGGTACATGAGCATTTTTCTACATCAATAACCCACTTCTTGTGATGGCCAAGATTAAATTGATTGAATCTTTGCGCAGCAAAAAACGTATGACCATTCGGTACAATTGTCTGAAAATCAAGACTATTACTTTTGGGCTCTATAGCCCTAAAGTCGATTTGACAACTAATAGTCGTTATTTTCCCACTTGAAGACATTTTAAAGCCCCACCTTTTTTAGGGAAGTTCTAAATTAGTATTATCTTTCAAATGCAGTTGGAATTTAACTTTTTCATTTTGTTGGCCTGCAAATGGGATATAGTACCTTTAAATCGTTTGGAAATAATGAAATATGTTCCCTTTATTCTTGTAAACATCAGGCCATGTATAATTATGATTCATGGAGTTAGTGCAGCAGTGGGTTTGGCCGTATCATGTTTCAACGAGTATACAAGGGAGGGGAATATACTAAGCACTATTAAGTATACATGATAGGCCTACAATAAAGAACATTGCCTAACATATTTATTTATTTATTTATTTATTTACTACTTGCGGGATGGAACGCCCTGATCAGCACGAAATATAGTCTTCCATAAGGATGAAGATGATGAATATGATGACAATGATGATGAAGAATATGTTACTTATGGGTTTTTACCTAAAAATCAAGAAGAGTCTTGATATGTTGTGAATCACTTCATTTATTTTTAATAATAATGTATGTTTAATCTTCAAGAAAGATATGTCTCATAAACTTGTTATGGTATAGAATTATAATAACCTTTTATTTCTGTTTGTGCCGATTGAAATAGCTCATTGCCGGAGTATTTGTTTTGCAAATGAAAGTACAATATGACTATCGTGTTGGCAGCATAATTATATGCCAATTTGATTTCCTCCCACTTGCATCAAATACTCGAATTTGTTTCATCTTGCATGTCTTGGAAATTTCCTCCACCACTTTCATTTCTAAACCGTGGCTTTCAGACCAACAACTAATGATTGTTGGTTTGTAAAGGAAGGGGTTTGAGGATATAATAATCATGACTTGTCATCGCGTCGGCTTACGATGTACTTTTGTTGTGGTTAACAAGAAAGTTTTTTCGGTCAAACCCGATTCGTCTACCACACACAGAGGCCATGAAGCCAGCACGCATGCGCGAGCTGAAGTAAGAAGTTCTTTGATTGGCTGAAGGACTGTCAAGTGAAGGCTATCCCGCAGACGACCAATCAAGCATGCGATACGATAAGGTGAAATCGACTATAGTCCCCTACTTCTAAACACGGCGCTCCCCGGAGCTCAAGCCATCGAAAAGAGATCGCCACACCTGAATGAGCGTCAATCGCGTTTCAGTTGACTACTGAAAAAGGTTGTTTCTCGCCTAGTTAAGAAAGAGAAAAAGGTGTAAAACTGCCTCTCACCCTGCAGGGCCAGTGGAAAGTACGACTCGCAGGGTGACTTTGAATAGAAAGGATTCAGCAGTGACTCTTAGCATGAGTACAGATACTCTACCACCGCAGTGCATGGACACCTCTCTGGTACGGCCCGGGGGCTCGGCTCTGCGATTCCTCGACGTAGGGTCCCACCACTATCACGCTCACCAGAGTCTAGGGACGGTGCCCGGCTTCAGCATCCCTACGCCTGCCTACTCTGCCGCCACACACTCGGCTGCCGAGACCACCGCGCTCAGCTCGGGCTTATCTGATAGCACGGGGATGACGCTGAACATGAATTCCTACGGCATGGACACCTCTCATATGACGAGTACATTGAAGTTGAGTCCCCCTCATCATATGGCGAGCGAGCACCAGAGTTCAGGGCAGCCGAATTTCAGCAGTCAGACACATAATGGGTATGTACCTCACTCTCATGCTCCCCATCATTCATCGCATCATAGCATGAGCAGCTACCCCGCCCCGCAGCCGTTCGCAACCTCCAGGGATTACCTCATCCGAAGGGACCCCCTCGCTGGGACCACCATGCCCCCGTTCAATGGACTATCATCACACGATCCTATGCCCACCAACACGGCGAGTCACCATAGCATGTTCCCGACAAGCAGCTCCCTGCATCACGGGCACCACGCCGACACAGGCTCCGCTCATGTCATCTTCCCCAGTTTCCACGATCAAACCGCCAGTTCTATGAACGGACAGATGAGACTTGGACTAACGTCGGACATGAGATCGGACCAGTTCAACCACCACATGTCTGCACCCAGAAACGATTACCTAACAACACCACAACTCCACAATCACCATATGAACATGAACATGAATATGAACATGGGACCCCCGCACCACCCCGCCGCCCACCACGGTCCGCACCACGCCGCGTTCTTCCGCTACATGCGGCAGCCCATCAAGCAAGAACTCAGTTGCTTATGGATAGACCAAGACTTACCTGAACCCAGAAAACCCTGCAATAAAACATTCACCACCATGCACGAGATTGTGACACACATAACTGTCGAACATGTTGGAGGGCCAGAGCAGACCAACCATACCTGTTTTTGGCAGAATTGTTCTCGAGAACAGAAGCCGTTTAAAGCCAAGTATAAGCTGGTAAATCATATTCGTGTGCATACAGGAGAGAAACCCTTCCCCTGCCCGTTCCCCGGGTGTGGGAAGGTCTTCGCTAGGTCGGAAAACCTCAAGATTCACAAAAGAACACATACAGGTAAGTCACACAATTTTTACTCTTTCACTTTTACAATCATAACATAACAAATACAATCATAACAGAAAGAACACAGATACTTCTCATACAAACGGCTAGAGGAAACGAAATATCATTCAATGAGAATTTGACACTAAAACCTTGTAAAGCAAAGTTATTATAGTTCGGACAATGCAGAACAAAAATTGTTTCAAAAAAGTTATAAACATAAATAGACAAAAATTATATTTAGTACAGATTGATGATCACCTTCGAAAAGTATAGCAAGTTTAAGTTCAACAACAATTCCCACCGTTTATTGTTTTAACTGATTCAATATTGTTATTGATTATGGTTTATTATGATTGATTATTTGCCTCAAGAATTGTATAAAAAGGCAGCACTTAAGATAGCAAAATTTAAAGAAAAGCCCACCTTAATGTTATTGCTCTATTTCTATCAATAATAACATCATAGTATTACCATTAAGGATAGATAATTTCGCTTTTCTATCTTGATTAATGATGGAATATACTTGGTTTGAATAGAAACGTGAAGAAGAGGTTTGGCCATTGAAATAGAAAATAAAATAAGTAAGCATTGTTATGACTCAAAATGAGTATGATAACTTATTTGCAAGCTAGTGATCTTGCTAGAGGAGAAAATCTAGAATCAAAATTTGGACAGCATTTAGTTGAAATGAGTGGATATGTTTCTACTTCTATAAGAGTTCTTGATACATAGAGTTGAGTTGACATGAATGATCCTGTTTGAGAATCTGTGTCAATGTTATGCAGTGAACGAAGAAGAGAGAACGAACATTATTATAACATTTCTAGAAAAAATCAATGTACGTCTTTCTAGAACTCTGACTTCCCAAAATGAACTATTCGCTATAAACCTATGCTACAAATCTTGTCCACATGCTCTGGCAAATGACTGTGTAACAACACACTATAAAATTCAAAGTCGTTAACGCACGAGGATAAATTTATCATGCCTGACACTAATATTGAGCTTCATAAATAGTCGCAACTCGTTTTGGCGGTTCGTTTATCGCCTGCGAATATCCCAGTGGGAGCAATACAAGCCATACCGGTCGCGTCTTTGATCCCGTGCATAGCAAACGATGTTAGCTGTCAACACATACAGGTGTACCCTCAACATAATCATCTGTACATTTCCTGATGCTGTAAACAGTGTTGGAAAACATGCATGAAGCCAGGTGTGTCGAGTTATACTATTTTATTATGCGGCTGCCGTGTTGGTGTGTAGTAGTAAGACGAATGTGATGACAATTATGCTAATAGAATCGAAGGTTATTGGGATTAAATGGAAGGGAAATAGTTTTAACTGTTTTACGTTTGCTAGTGCTATGGAGAAACCGGTATTGAATGGGTCTCTACATGCATGGTTATATTCACATTATTATACCATAAAGCAGTATAAACACATGAACAAATTAGTCCTTCGAAATTTGCCATTGTGAAATCATTGTTAGGCCTATCTCTACTGTGTAATCTAAATGGTATGCTTGCATAATATACAAGAATAACGCTTTGTACTGCGGTTATTTTCCTGATATCATCATACTGACGAAATTCTACAACTATTTTCATTAACAGTGCATGCGAATTTCGATAAGATTGTCATCAGTTTAGAAGATGAAATTATAGTTTTAATAATACAAGTAAGATTTAGTCGCTACAAATTGTGTTCAGTAAAGTCATAGAATTTTTGCAGGGATATGAACGATAACATACTTATATTTGGTTATCGTTAAGACACGTTTTGATTGAATACTTCCCATTAATAACATTTTATAATGGTTAATTTTGGTTGGATTATTTTAGAAATGCTTGTCTCTTTGGTGCACTTCATTTTGTCCCTCTGGATTTAAAATTTGTCCTTAAAATAGTACCTAATTGTTCTAATGAATATATAGTGCATTTTATTTGACGAACCTCAAATTTGTGTTAAGATACACCATGTAAAAAACACCTAAAAAAAATATTTGTAAAGCCTTTCTAGATCTTTATTTTGATTGCCTTTTAAAGACAAATATTTTGCTCAAATCAATATAATATCTGCTTATTTTCTTGGGTTACAAATAAAGAAATGAATTATTAGACCACAATATTTACAATTAGCTAATATATCACATAATAAGAATACTTTATCCAAAAGTAACCGCGAAATGAGCATAATAAGCGACCAACGATTTTGGATAGTGCACTCACCCAACGAGGGGCCGCGATTGAATAAAGAATGTGGTCAAAAAACGTTCAAACATATAATAGCATCGTAAACAAACCCAGGGGCTATTTGCAGGAAGACCATGGACTGTTAAGTCATTAGGAACAAACGTAATTAAACATCTCTTGTGCTGAGGAGCATATGGAGGAATTCTTTCTTTATTCAGCCCAGGTCCTCATCTTGTAGTCACACGCGCTAGATTTGTGGGAAATCCCTGCCCAGTGGTCAGAATTTGACAGGCTCATTAGGGGAGGGATCGGGGATGAAAAGGGGATTAGTTAATCCGGATTAGTTACACGAGGCAATGTATTGTCTTCGTATCAAACTGATGCTGTCAGTTATAGTTGCCTGGGGTCGTGTATATAGTTGTATAGCTATGCCACTCTCCTTTCCTCTATAGGGAAGTATTGTCGTCGACGTCTTATGCCTAATACTCACTTTCACAGAGTTGATTCTTAATTATGCTCCCCGTCCCTTTTCTCTGTCCTACTCTCATTCTGATAGTTTAGGAGACATTACTTTACCAAAAGTATGACGGAATTAGCCAGGGTTATCAGCCCAAATCATAGCTGTGATTGATTATTGTATATAAGATTCAATTCTTTAGTTAGCTTTGAATATATGGGCATAATTCATTAATAAAAAGATTACATGCATCAATTATCATGTTAGAAACATGTTGTTTGTTTTTTTTCAAAAGTAGTTATTTAACCAAGATGTTAAATTATTTATTGGAGAAAGAAATAAGTAGCCATTTGTAGCCAATGATTCGAATTTGCATGAACGCGAGAATTGTCTCTCATTTTTAAAATTCTTGTAAGATTAAAGATGCATGAACGTCAAACGAATATAGAATATACGAATAATGCTGTATATGTGTCTAGCATTGGTTCAAGTGCATCATTATCACCATGATGACTGCGATACCAAGTACTCTCACAAGGGTGTCACGTGATCAGGTTTGGTCACATGACAAACGGATATCGCAATGAATGATGGGATAGCATATTACACCACACATGTGTCTGCACTCAAAAGAACTATCGTTGTCATAGTATGATCAGAATGATACAAGTGTTGTTGTTTTTTAACTGTACTGGGAATTAACGGCGATATATATCTAAATTTATCTTTCTTTTTGAAATAAATTGTGAAAGTTTTAGGCATTTTTAAATCAGATATTGAGATTGAAAGATTTCCAAAAGTTATGACAAGTTTAAAATAATAATATTTCCTAACGGATGCCAATTCAGCAGCTCTTCACATTATACTACTGTTTTCATATAAGTCTCAATTCTTAGATAATAAATTAGTATAAACGAATTTCGATCTTTTTATTATCGATCGGTATCATTTAAAACTTAAGAGTTAAGGATGATGATTAATATAATGTGATGATAAAAACTGAAAACCGACGTACAATTATGATTTATAAATAATATAATAGATTATAGATTTGTACACTCATTTGTTTATATCGTCGATTTTTAATGTGATTAATTATTAATACACTGAACGATTGCAGCTTACATAGCATAGGATCAAGAAGATTGTGGATTAACTTTCAATACTTACAGTATAATACTCTTGATTATTGAAGTCATGAAACTAAATTAAAAATATTTGTATTTGAAACTTTAAATTTGTTGCTATAAAACCAAAAAGATATATTAGTATAATGATATATTTGTATACTAATATCTGTTTGTTGAACTAGCACACACATAAGTACAAAGACCTTAGGATTTTACCAGAACATGTTAAGCATTGGCATTCCTTTTGCATATATCATGAATATCGCAAACTGAGGTCCACAATCATGACAATGTGATTCGGTCCAAATCGTCTCTAAAATAAGGAAATAATCCTTGAACTTTCCTTAGTCTTCTTTATCAAGTTATCTGTGTCACTCAGGATAAAGTTAGCCATTTCATTTATTCCTCTAGACATCCGTCATAAAGACAAAAGTCTAATCCTTCTGTTGAGTTGATAAGCTTTTGTTCAGAACGCTTTTGTTGTGGCGATTTCCAACACCCCCAATCAGCTCGCTATTGTTTTCCCGGTGACGGTTCGCCGCCACTGCTCCAGCCCGCTGGAAGCCGCAAGAATTTCCCTCACCGAACGGGGTGGTCCCGAGCTTGCTCTCGGACAATAGCACACGTATCCGCATATATCAGGCGAGATTTCTGCATGACCGGAGCGTGGATCCTGAATTAAATGCAACGAGGAAACGAATTTGTCGTATTATCTGTCATGTATGTGGTTTTGTGACCACTTATTGTGACCAATACAGTATTATGGCAGGTCTAAGGAATTGATCGTGTTGGCAAACATATTAAAATCGGCAGTACGGATGATAGAATGGCAAAAGTAATTTTGTATTACTGACCAAGATCATTGCGACGATGTGTATATTATACTGGATCAAAACTACTGAGTTGTGGTACAGACACTTGAAGCTCTGCAGATGTAAACAAATATTAAAGAAGACGTAGTTGGTCAATAATGATACACTGGCCTTTGCATATTCTAATGTCATGTAAAATATGTTTTTGATATTGAATCAATTTCTTCATCTTCGTGATTGTTTAGCACAGTAATAATTATAACAGTCGTACTTTCCTCCGAATCGATCACTTTGTTATATGTAGGCCTTCACACTGCTGCTATTTCTTCTTTACCACTTGAGCTACTACTACTACTACTACTACTACTACTACTACTACTACTACTACTACTGTACTACTACATGTATTAATACATGT